CTAATACCGAACCTTTTCCTTTGGTTGTCCTTGTATTGTATGCGGCGTTGTGTTTGAGGTCTGGGTCTTTTATTTAGGCGACCCATACAGTCCATGTTTTCAAAAAGGGTTAGGTTAATGAAAACATGTAGATTGCCCATGATGGCCCATGGTTTCTCTATGTTTCAGAAAATAATTTACCAACATGGAAAAACATGGCCATTTTATATTTCCGCAATGGAAACTTGCCCAAGCCATGTTACCAGGACAACATGAAAAATGAAGACTGAGGAAGATGGCTGAGCGTCGGTGCATAAAAAAACTTTCGTTTATCATAATTGTACTCATTATCAGGAATATGTCCAGCGTAACAAACGTGATGAAAACATGCTGAAAACATGGCGAAAACATGTAAAGCAATGAAAGAATGAATTGATGAAGTTATTGGCTCTTTCCACTTACGTCTTCCTTCTTGTTCGAGCTTGCAGAATCGCTGAATTCCACCACGGAGCGAAAAACATCCCAACGACGACGCTGTAACCCTGCAGCTGTGTAGTCGTTGCCAGCATCCTTGAACAAACGCCGCTAGAAGTAAAGGCAGACGAACAATCCGCAGTTGTAGCCATCTTTTTGTATTGGACTGTGTACCACCACAACTCGATGTTTTTTTCGGGAAACACTTTTTGTTCAGTTCTTCAGCCAGCTCGCCCAGTAAATTTTGAGTAGCTCTCTTGTCGAAGCTATCGTAAGTGTGAATAGTCTTCTGTATCTTGTCCACGACGAGACATACCCAATGCGTTCCATTGATATTCAGTGGCATGTAGATAATGTCCTTTTCAGCTCCTGCCACTAAGTCGAATGTCGAGGCGGGAATCCGGTTGCCTTTATCAGCCGTAGGCGTACTGAGTTGTGGCAAAAAAAATGGTCGTGTTGTTTGCTCTTCATCACAGTCTTCATAGGTACGTTTTCGACTAGCACGAGAGACGGCCGACGTATTTTCGCTGCTTTCATTCCCACCACAGCTCGCCGAATCACGTCACCTTCCATGTCTGACGAAACGGCTGCATTTTGTGAATCGGAGAAACGCGACACGGACTTCCCACTGTTTTCGTCAATATTAACCGTAAGTTGAGCGTAGGAAATACGGTCTACCTCGGCCCCTCTTTCCGAAAGACTTTCATCCACACTCTGAGCTCCTTCTACATCACTGGACTTCTCCATGACACTGTCGTTACTTGAACTTTCCTCCTCCATTTCTACTTCTCTTGTCTTCTTCCGAAACATATCCAGCACTAATCCGCCAAACGAACAGATAACAAATCCAACATAAAGTCAAAACAATAGCGTAACCATGGTCAGACGCATGCTAATATCATGGCAAATGTAATTAGCCGACTACACGTACACTAGAAGTTAACAAGTAGTGGCACAGCTTTGAAGGTTTTTGTTGTGATTACAGAGCGACTCTTAATCAAAAATGAACGGATTGCGTTTGTTAGTTTAAATGAACGGATGGCGATTGTTAGTTTAGAGAGCGCTCACGACCAGCATTTGATGACAGCTCACTCACCAGTTCAGAGTACGTACGTGGGTGGGGGACTGGAAGGGGGAGAGACCACTGACCAGAGAGGAGTATTTGTCAGAAGCTACTTCGCGGCGACAGGAACGAGGGAGGCGCGATCGATCCTTTCGCGACGCGTGGCAGAATTGGTGGCTCACAAATTTGAATTTTAAAGCGGTAATAAATTCATAAATTACAACCATGGACAAACATGTTTAAAACATGTATAATACATGGGCATCAAAACATGGACTGTATAATTTCCGTTTTATTTATGGTACCTGTTTTTTTTATTACAGCACCTACATGTTTTATGCGGGGTCGTCGATTTCATTTAAACTCTCGTGAGATTTGTAAGTTGTTTCACCCCCTCCTTTTCGAAAACATAGGCTCTATATTTCCCGTACGATAAATTCAATCAACTTTTTGCAGCTGGCAGCATGCAAGCTTATTCACTACGACTTCATTACGTATAGCACTCACAGCCGTACGCTTCTCAAAAATTGAGCGGTTTCTCCAGCACCGAAATGTTGCGGTGCTTCATCGTCTCCAGCTCCTGCTGGTGTTCCAGACCCAAGAACGTCGTCATCAGCTTGTTCAGGTAAACGTTTTCGTGCACACCCTTGCACATGCGTTCGAAGATCATCGGACCCTTGCAATACAAGTTCACATCCGTTCCAACGTGACCCACGGTCGTCCAGCCAATCCAGGCAGGCGCACTAATAATGTGACCCAATTCAATCAGAACGAAGTACAGATCGCGAGTCTCGTCAACAGCAGCGGCGATTTCAGTCACGAGCTTCGCGACGTCACCATCTGTGACAGAAGTCACGTTGGTGTAGTTAGCCAGCATCATCTTGGACGTTTCCAGTAGAACAGCCTTGCACGTTTCGTTAGCTTCGATAGCACACTCGTCGCTCGCCAGAATCTCATCGAGACGCTCTTGCATCGCCTCGGTCGACATATTTTGCTGCTGCAATTGGGTTGGATACCAAGGATACGGATATTCCATGCCACTGCGACCAAGCGTAAGACCACCAGTACCGTGGTCAGCAGCTGACAGCATTGCCGTGTTGGGAGTCTGTTCCACGTGGTCCAACACTACAGCAACCGTCTCGTCAAAGGCAATCGCTTCCTTCGCCATAGTACCGGGATCGTTCGAGTGACCGGCGTGATCGACACGAGAGCCTTCGATCATCACGAAGTATCCATGTTTTTTAGCCTGTTCGTTCTTGCGTAGAAGACCCAACACAATGTCCACCATCTCCGGGAGACTGGGCTCACGTATCGTAGTGTCATTTCCAGCAAGTTCACGCAGGCGGTCAACCTCGTACGACATGTGGCTGTCCTTAAAGAGCCCAAACAAACGAAGTGCACCCGTGTCAGCGTTGGCGGACTGGTAGTCCAGTAGGTCCTGGTAGTTGTTTGCCACCGTGTAACCATTCGCCTTCAGATCTTCGAACATCGAGTCATTGAAATATTTCTTGCCACCACCAAGCAAGAAGTCCAGCTTCTTGTTAGCAACATACTGTGCAGCAATATCGTCTTCCGAGTCCCGGTCGAGTACGTGCGCAGCAAATGATGCCGGTGTTGCGTGGGTTACACGGCAGGTTACGATCATACCAGTCACCATGCCACGAGCCTTGGCAGC